AGGAATCGTTGTAATAACCTTTTGATTTCCCTCAAAATTTAATTTTCTCGGTATGTTTTTCGGAATCATCTTGAAATTATCTGCAGGATTCACTAGAAATTATTCGCAGAATTTTCTTGGAACACTCCCCAGATATTCTTTGGAACTGTCCTCAGAATTCAATATCCTTGAGGTTCTTCTCGGATTTTTTTAGAACTCCCTAAGAGTTATTTTGAAATTCTTCTCAGAAGTCCACTGGAATTATACTTAGAACTCTTTATGATTTTTTCTTAGAAAACCTTGGAACTGAAATTCCATAAAAGTTTCAGAAGAATTTTCTCTGTATTACCCAGAAATTCTTCCCAGAATGAGCTTGAAATTATCCTCGGAATTCCTTTGAAACATTCCTTCGGAATTTCATTCAAAATTTGATTCTCTCGGTATTCTTTTCGAAATTATCTTGGAACTATCTGCAGGATTCACCAGAAATTATTCGCAGAATTTTCATGGAATCATCCCCAGAAATCTTTTCTTTTTGAACAGTCCTCAGAATTCAATACCCTTGATGTTCTTCTTCGAAGTCAAGTTTAAGTTGTCCGTCCATTCACCAAAACGTTGGAGTTTTTCTACCAGAAATGTTCAATAAAGCTTGCCCCTTCATTCACCAGAACTGTGCAATTTTTACATTAGGAATTTTCAATTCAGATTGATGCAAATCTTACACCAGTAATTTTCAATACAAACTTGCCCTCAGGTAATTTTACACCAGAAAATTTCAACTGCCCAGAACGATGCAAATTTTTCAACGTTAATGTTCAATAAAAATTGCTTCTCCAATCTTCTGATTGGTGCAGATTTCCTTTTTACATTTTCCACCAGACATTTTCAATATAGCTGGTTTCTCCTATCATCAGAATGTTGCAGGTTTTCCACCAAATAAAGCTTGCCCCTATTTTCAGATTTTTCATCATAAATTTTCAGTAAAGCAGCTTCCCTCCAATCATCAGAATGGTGCAAATTGCACACCAGAAATTATTATTAAAATTTTTTTCCCTATTCAGCAGAAGGATGCAAATTTAAGACCAAAATTTTTCCGAAAAGCTTGTCCATCAGTTTACCAGAACGGTGCAGATTTTTCACCAGAAATTTTCAATATAGCTTAATTTTAAATAAAGCTTGTGCCTTCATTTGCCAGACCAGTGCAAGTTTTCCACCAGAAATTTTCTGTTCATTTCATTAATCAGAGCGATGCAAATTTTGCACCAGAAATTTTCAATAAAGCATGCTCCTCCATTCACCAGAACAGTGCACCAAAAATTGTCAGTGAAGTTTGTTTCACCATACACCTTTGTGGTGCAATTTTCAGGCTTTGCCTCTTCATGGCTTTGCCAGAAGGTGCAAATTTTCCACCATAAATTTTCAATGAAATTTCATTGAAGTTTGACCCTTCATGCTCCTTTGTGGAAGGAATTGACGCAATAAAAGGTTTTCAGTGCCGTTATATTATGAAATGAAGATATACCTTCAAACCAAGTTATTAAGAAATCAAGTTGTTTTATGTCATAATGTTATAAATGTGGAAATGCATATCATACTTATAAAAGTGGGAAATTGCCCCACTTTGCCCCACCCTGTGCACGCTAGTGATTTACAGTTGTACTTGGCAACGACCATTGCCTTGATGACCTCACTCATCCTAATGTTTTGAAAAAATGTGCGCTGTGAGGAATCCATTGCAGAACTTCGCCGGAAATTCATGGTTGAAGTTATGAAATCAAAAATTGGATTGTCTCAACAACAATGTTTAACATATTGACACATGCAAAGAGAAGGCGTAGATAAAGGGTGTCCACGATGAAATTGCCACACACAAAATTGATTCGCAAAATTCGAGTTTTCATCCGATTGCCATCAAATTTTCAGGGATTGAAAAATAACTATTAAACTTCATTTTACCATTTTACTCGTATTTTATTTACAGTCCATACGCAAATGCCCGCACCTTGGCCTTAACCCCGGCCATAAGATTCTGCACAACCTGTGAATCAACCGTTTTTTGCATGTAAACCCATACTTTCTTCAGTTCCTCGACTGTCTTCACTACCTTAGGTCGTTTAAGAAGGTGCTGCTTCATAATCGCCCAGTACTTCTCGATGGGGCGGAGCTCCGGAGTGTTGGGAGGGTTGAACATTTTCGGCACGAAATTGACCTTATTGTCCGCATACCACTTCAAATCGTCCTTGGAGTAGTGGCATGAGGCCAAATCCGGCCAGAAGATTGTTGGGACGTTGTGGGCCTTCAGGAGAGGAGCCGCTTCTGGAGGCACTCTTTTATGTACACCTGTCCGTTCATCGTGTTCTGGGTCACGAAAGGTGCACTCCGCTTCCCGCACGTGCAGATGGCTTGCCAAACCAGGAATTTCTTCGCAAATTTGAAAAACAGGTTGCCGGGGATCTGTTTGAAGTCGGCCTTCACATATGTTTCGTCGTCCATGATGCAGCATTCAACTTTCGTCAGCATGTTGAGGTACAACTTCCTGGCACGGGTTTTGGCGGACTTGTTCTGCTTCTCGTCGCGATTAGGGGCCTTTTGTACCTTGAACGTTCGAAGCCCAGCCTTAGTTTTGGCCTTCTGGACAAAACTTCGGCTTAGGTGCAGCTTCTTAGCCACATCCCTAACGGAGGCATTCGGATTTCGGTTGAAGGCCCCAACTACGCGGTTGTGATTTTTGGTGTTGTACGGAATACTTTTTCCTTCACTTCTGGGCTTCCGATCGGTGGTCAACCGTTCCTCGAACCGCTTAATCACTCGCGACACCGTGGAATTCGCGATTCCCAACGTTTTAGCGATGGAACGATGCGAGAGATCCTTGTTCTCGTGATGAATGCGCAAGATTTTATCACGCACGAGCTGTTCTTTCGACTCCATTTCCGCGAGTTTCATCAGTTTCATCACAGGACTTTACAACTTGCAGGATGTAAATAATGCACTATGAACTAAATCCACCCAAATTTTCATTAAATTCTACCCAACGGTTAAAAAGTTAGAGCAATTTCATAGTGTGGCAATTTCATTGTGGACACCCTTTATTGTACAGTGTTGCCAGTAACTTTAAATATCATGAAAATTTCTAATCATGGGTGTCAATGAAAGTGCCCAGGTGTGCCCATCTGTATTTTTGGCACACTGTGCGGAGTGACCAACTGCGCGGCAAGAGAGGTGAAATAACTCTCTGTCAATAGTCGTAATAGTATCGTAAATTTCATGCAAATTAAATGGAGGGTCATGTCACATGAGGTGACTACCGTCACTTCACTAGGGACAGTCACTTCTCCTCACTCACTTTGCAGAATAGGCCTGAATATCATGTGATCATTTGACCAGTACAATAAATTTACATTCGGGCTTATTTTCAACAAAGACGTCATATTGGAGGTCGAGCCATTTTACGGACTTTTCCAGAGATTATCTTGCAATGAATTTCTTGCAATGGATGCCGAGAATCCGCTCTCGCACATTTTTGACACACACACACACACACACATATATACACTTTTGATCTAAAGGTTGATTGGTATCTAAGAGAAGAGGTGACAATAAGGGGGCGAAAATGAACCACTTTTCTGTCAAACGTGAACCAGCTCCTGATTGACCGGTTTCATGTGCGTAAGATAGAGATAATGATAGATAAAGATAGAGATAGAGATAGATAAAGATAGAGATAGTTATAGATAAAGATAGAGATAGAGATAGATAAAGATAGAGATAGAGATAGAAATAAAAGAGGAAGAAGCCAATTATCACCTCTTCCTCTTAGATTGGTATATGAAACTCGGCTCTCTGGGCCTCGATTCGTATTTTTCAGACGATATCTATACCCTTCTTTGTAAGAAGGGTAAAAGGACAGGGGATCTCCTCTGCGATGGATATGACGGAAGGGTTGAGTCGCTTTGAACAATCGAATGTAACATATGATGGTAGCGTAAACGCTCCTATAGGTCCCTGTAGTTGCGTGTGAAGTCTCCAGGAGCGTTTACCCTGTATGATAAATTCCTTCGAATTTGCCAGTACATTTATATCATTTTACTATTAATTGCTAAACATGCCATTCTTACAAGGAATAATTCAGCGCAATGCCCATCATCACCCCCGCGTTCGATCAAATTACCAAACTCTGCCACGGCCTGGTGGGCGGTAACTAAGCGAAACGAACCTAGTATCAACCCTAAGCAACTGTAGGGTAAGAAGAAGAAAAGCGGAACAGAAAAAGTGTAATCAATTTTTCATTTTTATGATTACATTTTTATTGCATTAAATGATTGCTATAAAACTTCCTCCGCAAAGCTGCAAAGCTGCTGTAGCCGAAGGAAAGCTGGCATGTCATAAAACCGAACATGTGGGTGAGCGCCGTATCCGAGCGTGCAATCATATCAAGATATGGAGCCGCCCGGTTCTACGATATGAATGCACACACAGCCAAAACCATACAAGGCTGCTGCTGCTGCTGCTGCTGCAGGGCTGAACTGAAATTAACTGCAAGCCAGATATAACCCGACCCTTCTCGCTCGAATCCTCGTGCTCTCATGTGCTGCTGCCTGATGCGATCCGTTTTCTCATCACTGGAAAATGACTACACACTGCACTGCAGCCACCAAGGGGACGTCGTCGACAAGATAGAACCGGGCAGATATGGCCAGAGCCAGGATTTATATTTTAATCCGTTTTCCCGTCGGCATCAGGTACTGTTGCAGGAGAAAAAAAAAGCTCATCTTGATTTCGCCCCATTTTTACGCCGTATTACTCACCTTAATCGCGATAACCGCGCACTCCGAACGAAGCAGGCCAGCAGGCATCTGCTACGGAGGCACCCATATGCACTTTTGCAATCAAGATTTTCTCATGGCAATCCTAGATCCGCGCGGGGATGGAAATTGAATCGCCGCCACTCTCCAAAAGAAGCCATTTCTATTTTAACAAATTGCATTCCGCCATTTTTCTGCTCTTTTTTTTTCGTCCTACAGCAACTACAAGCAAATCCAGACGCTTGCTCACGAAGGACACGAGATTTCCCTGGAAACGATTTCCCTGCAGATGGGCCTACAGGACAAGGGCTACGAGGAATGGGTCGGAGAAATGATCGGCATGCGATCGATTCTGAAGCACTTCTCGAATGTTTCGTCGAACGAAATCAACGGTATGCGCGCTCCGTTCCTAAAACCCGGTAGAAATACGGAATACAAGGTGAGAGTCCGCGGTCAGTACAATCCGCTCAATTCAGAGTTACCTAATCGGGCGTCTTTTACCGCAATTCGCAGGTCATCGAAGACTTCGGTTTCATCTACGACAGTTCGATCAGCGTTCCGCCAAGCCCAATTCCAGTTTGGCCGTACACCCTGGACTACAAGATCCCGCACCAGTGCAAGAGCGGAACCTGCCCGACCAAGTCCTTCCCCGGTATTTGGGAAGTTCCACTGAATGCTCACTTTGTCGAAAGCTACGAAGGAGGTCACTGCCCGTACATGGATCAGTGCGTGCTGCACAACCACGATACCGATGATGTTTTCGCCTGGCTGCAGGAGGACTTCGAACGGTACTACTACCAAAACAAGGCCCCCTATATGATGCCATTCCACACCAACTGGTTCCAGATCAAGGAGCTCGAACGTGGCCTTCACAAGTTCCTCGATTGGACGCAAACTCTGTAAGAAGCTGGATAGCCTGACTCCCTTGAAGACCTCCAATTAATTACTTATCTTCATTTCAGCCCCGACGTGTGGTTCGTGACGGTCACGCAAGCCCTGACGTGGATCACCGACCCGAAGACCCTGAAGCAGATCAACAACTACGAACCGTGGAACTGCAAAACCAAGAGCACACAGACCCCGAAACCGTGCAACACCTCGAATAAGTGTGCCCTGCCCTTCAAGGAACCGGCATCGAACATCAGCGACACCAGGTACATGGAGACCTGCTTCGATTGCCCCGCCGTGTATCCATGGTTGGGAGATTCGCACGGTACCGGCATCCCCGGACGGGACAACTACATCGACCAGAACGGAGGAGGAAGCACGACTGACGAAAAGGGTTCATCGGACGATAATGAAAACTAGTTCCACCGCGAGCAGTCGAGTCTTAATTATGTGATGTGCTCTCTCAGCACACTACTTTTAGAGTATTTTAACTTTATCAAAAGAACAAAATTTAATTTCTTGTAGTCAGAGATGAAAGAAGGAACGTGTGCCGCTACGGTTTGCGTGGGAGGAGCCAAAATTATACAGTGTATGTCCTACAGAAGGAACGAAATAATCTTGTTCGGTGGTAGCCTACTTCAGCGTCGAAAGAAAACTCCTTTTGCATCCTGCACTCGCACACGCATAGCAACATCACCCGGCGGCGGTAGCGACGGACAAAGCACGCTATGACAAACAAGATGTGTACGTCAAAGTACCGTTTCGTGTATAATTAGGGCAAACAAGCGTAAAACAACGACTACAGACGGTGAGTGCCTGCTCTTTCGCAACGACGTTCGTCATCCGGATGAAACATGGTTTGTGAATTTGTACTTGTTGTTACATACAGGTGTAGATCGGTGCCTACTCCTCTTCCGCTGGTAAGTTTGCTTTCCTGCGTTTATTAGGCACTGGTCACCGCACTGGGTTGGGACTTCTAAGTAAGATGACGGTTGAAATTGCTCTGGTGATGCTTTAATCAACGCCAGTCTAGATCTAGAGGCAAACCATGAAATTGAGGGAAATTACATTTCCTAGTTTGGGATAGGTGCACTATAATAGGCAATGAAGAATACGGTATGCAGAATTTTGACTTCGTTCTGGCAAGGTCGTAGACAGGTTTGGAAATAGAAAGAGCAAGATTTTGATTTGGTTATGGATCATTCGACCACTAGAACCACGGGCAACTAGGTCAAATATGTCACTAAACTAGTTGTCGTAAGTGCTCTCGGAACTTTCCTGATATTTCATAGGAAATTTTCTGAAGTTCCATAGGAACATACCCTTAAGTTTTCGCGGAACTTCCCAGTTCATTCAAGTTCTTCTGGATGCTCTGTTAAATTCTCTCGAAACTTCCATAAAGCTTTCGGAATATACCAAAAGTTTTCCCAGAATTTATCTGAATCTTATAACCAACTCATCTTTCTCTGAAATCCTCTCAAAATTTCTCTCAAAAATTTCTCCATGCATTTCCAACAGCATATGTCCCTTGATTCTTGCCTAAAGTTCCCTCTGACAGGTACTTTCCATTGGTACAGTTCGCTCGTAAATTTCCAGCAGTTCCCTTAAATTTCTCGAAACAGGTCACCTTAATTATCATGCCCTTATCCTGATCCTACGATATTGCTATTTATTCAATTTGATAATAATACCACCTAAATTGCTGGGTTTCGTGATCATGCGGTTAGCGGCGTCACTCATAGAGATCGAAGTGTGCTCTGCTTTTGTACGGAAGCAAAACATTTCCAGGTGTCAAATTTTCGGATTTATTTTTTTCTGGAATTATTTTTTTCATCGCGTCTGTGCAAAGCAAGTGCTAGTGAAGTAATGAAATTGCTTCGTTAGCGGAATTAATCATGTTTTGTTGTTTTTGACATCATCCACATCCAGAGGGCCATTCACTTTCGAATGTATGGGAATGGTAGGAAACCATTTGGAAATGCATGAAAATTTTCAGTTTTTATTCATTATCGTCTTTATGGGCAGTTTTAGATGCACAAAAATTGAACGAGTACATTACTATGGTGATAAGGTAAACACTCGTTTATTTGTTTCCTTCTGTGAAAGCATGTTTAGTCACCAATCGTGGATTTTCTGATATTCTCCATACTGCAAAAATGATTTTCCTACCACTGAAGGGGCGACATCTCTCGGATCTTCAGTATAGCTACTACTCAAATCATATAATTAATTAAGTGTAATTAAATGGAAGATAACTTTTTTTTACTGTTTTATTTAAGCATTCCGTTAACAAGTCAATTTCATTACTTAATGATGATTACTTAATTATATTATTTTGGTCCGCCATCTTGAATTCCAAAATGGCGATGGATGTTGATTTTTTGCTTCTACTCATCAAGCCCATTCCGTAGATAACCATATTGTTGTTTATTGTTTATTGTTTATTGAAAAATTCAACTGACAATTACTGTCTAAATGAATAAAACTTAAACTAAATAGTTACGGTCAACGGTACGGAAAAGGCCAAGTAGCCGATGACGAAACACGTCAGCTGATACATTGAAGTCGAACATATAAAAAAAGTTGTTGAATTGCCGGCTGATTGCTCGAATTGGCTCGTGTTGTGTATAATTCCGGCTCCGTGGTTCCAAAAACAGAAAGTCGCGTTGACGAAGAGACCTTTCAGCTGTGACAGCAGTGTTGGGCAGTCAATGTCACCTGTAAGCAGCTTTCCAGCGAACATAGCTTGAGCGACCGTCCGTCTCACCTCTAATGGCTCGATTCCCAGGAGACGGCAACGCTCCTCGTACGGTGGCAAGTTCGTTGGGTCACGCCAGTTGAGGAAACGAAGAGCATATCTCACAAACTTTCGTTGAACGGATTCAATTCTAGTGATCCAGCTAGCATGGAAAGGGCACCAAACAACTGAACTTGACTCCAATAAGGATCGCACAAGCGAGCAGTAAAGTGACCTGAGACATAGCGGGTCACGAAACTCGTCGGCAATTTTGAAAATAAAGCCCAATTGTCGATTAGCTCTGGAGATGATGTCATTGTAGTGGATTCTGAAAGTGAGTCTGCAGTCCAAGGTAACGCCGAGATCCTTTATGTGCTCTACACGAGCAAGACAGTGTCCGTAGAGAACATAGTCAAACATGATTGGTTCGATTTTTCGGTGATAGGAAATAATGTTACATTTTTCTATGCTTAGACTCATCAAATTTCTTGAGCACCAGTCAGCAAAAATACCTAACATATTCTGGAGATCCCAGCAGTCCGAGAGGCTTTTAATAATTTTGTAGATTTTCGTATCGTCTGCATAGAAAACGCGGCATCCTGATGATATCAGCAAGGCGACATCGTTTAAAAAGATCGAAAATAGTAGCGGCCCTAGGTTACTGCCTTGCGGGACTCCCGAGTTGTTTGAGAAAACATCCGATTCCGACGCGCCAATCTTGACATGTACATAGCGATTCACCAAGTAAGATCTGAACCAATCCACAGCAGTTGACGAGATGCCAAGTATCTCCAGCTTGGCCAGCAAGATATTATGGTCCACCGTGTCAAATGCAGCTTTTAGATCCATATACGCAGTATCGACTTGCCATCCTGAATCCATGCATCGCAAACAGTTAGAAGTGAACTGCACCAGGTTCGTGGACACGGAGCGCTTCGGGTAGAAACCGTGTTGTTCTGTAACTGTAGTCTGTTCTTCCGAATCGCTTCTGTAGTCTTTAGGACGAAACGTTTCAGAATGGGCGTTGAGGTACGCATTTCCTTTCTTAGTGTCCCGCGCTTCGTTTTGAGTTGGCTTCCCGTCATGTATCGCCGGTGGAAATACGACGACACTCGCGGCTTAAATCCACTCACTGAAGGTCGCCAGGTTGACCGATGACAGTGTTCGACGATGCTGTGCCCAGTTGAGTTTGAGCGATGGCGGTAGTTTGTCGACTAGCTGGTGTACTAGAGTGACATTGTACATATACTCCTGCAGTCCACACGCGTCTACGGTGGCACAGAAGTTTTGGACATTCTCCGCGAAGTCCACTAGCGTTTCCAGCTTGTCTTCTCGAATCGGCGATAAAGAGCTCACCTTCCCAATTAGCGATTGTATGATCACCTCTGGCTGACCAAACAGCATGTTCAAAGTGGACAGAATGCCAGGAACGTTTCCGGAATGCATCAGCCGACTCTTGACAGCATCGTAAGCTCTGCCTTTTAGACTTTTCTGCAGTCGAACTATGTTTTCATCCTCCGTAAATCCGCACTTCGTGGTCGTTCGATTATACATGGATATGAAAACTGGCCACTCCTCTGGATTGCCCGAAAACGTAGGCAAATCTTTTGATACTGCTTGTCGTGCTGCAACTTGCGAGCGGGAAAGTTGAAACTGGTCATTATCATCCACAATCGATGAGTTTAATGAAGACCCTCTATCTCTGTCGCCTGTATTCATAGCAGGCCTATGTGGATAACACGATTCTCTCGGATGAAGTTGCGTCGAATGCGGTAGAGCGTCTGGAAGAAATTGTCCAGGTTACTCACGTATCGATTCTCTGCATGACTCTGCTTCGAGATTCACCGGTGGAGGGTCGAGTTGTGGTTCTGGCATCTGGTTGGAAGGAATTAGATTCCCCGGTCGTCGCATGACCCCTTGACCATTCGCTAGCTGTTGTTGCTGCTCGCGTAGAATTCTATCCTGTTCTAACTGCCGTTCCCACATCCGATTGGTGGCATCCGCTTCCTTCCTCAAATCTTCCTGTTGCTGTCGCAGAACACTCTCCTGACGTATTTGCTCTTGCCGCTGCTGCTGTTGATACTGCCGAAATTGCTGCTCTCTCTCTCCAACTGCTTCTGCTGCTGCTTCCGTAGCTGGCCTGCGTGCAACCGTTGTTGTCGATGTTGTTCTTGCAGAGTTGCATCCTGCTGCTCTTGTTTTTACCGAAGCTGTTCTTGCCGCAACCGTTCTTGCTGTTGTTGCTCGACAAACTTTTGACGCCATTGCTCCTGCTGTTGCTGTTCTTGCAAGCCGTCTTGTTCCTGAGCGGCGGTGTTGGCTGTGTTTAAGGGTGTAGGGTTAGTTGTTTGCACCTATTCTTCAACCCGACGACGAAAGAAGTTGGAGCGCCGACTCGATCCTCGTTCGCTCGCTGAATCCTACAGAATCTTATATTTGTTATCCAAATATTCCTTATACTCCTGGGTTGTCTTTTCCTCAGCGAGTCTTCTGCGCTCTTCTTGCTGCTGCTGAAATGCCCGTTCTTCCTGCAGTCTCATCAGTTGAAGCTTGGCGCGGTTTCTCGCAGACTTTTGTGACGAGGAGATGGACATCTCGGAAATCGCTTCCTCTGCATCGATCACTGGCAACTCTACAGCTGGCAACGACGACTTCTGCTTCTGTTGGTTGAACACTGGATCTGGACACGTTTGTTGTTTACCAATCAATGGTATAATTAGGCCTTGTGCCGAAGTGTGATGATTCTGATCGGGCACTGGATCCAGAGGTGGTGGATGATGGCTGGTTACCGGAACTGTCAGCGACT